GCTTAAAATGAGCCATTCACTATGAATGTTGCTGCATTCAAAAGACTGCATTGCACAGTAGAAAGAAAAGTGCTGTGCATTGTTTTCTTCAGTTTTTTTTTTTCCACAAGTGACTTCTATTTCGAGTTAATTGACCATCTTGCTTATGGTAACAGCCTGCTAAGAAATGAATATGTGCAATTCTGCATCAAAATGGACTTCTTTACATTATTATTAGAACCACCTACTTCTGTTATCCCTGGGAAAAAAGGAAACCTTGATGCAACATTTCTTAAAAGAGTCAATAGGTCTTCAGTAAAAAAACAACAACACTGGACCACAGACAAGAAAAACCAGGAACCCCACCCGAAAGATGTGTCTTTGTGAAGGTCAGTAATCAGTACGTTCATGTCCAACACATTTCCTTTAATCATACTTAAAAGGAAACACCTTGGAGATAACAAAGTCCTTTCCCCCAGGACAAGAAAATAGCTTCACCCACTCCCAATATCATTTTTCAAAAATCATCTTTCTTGCAAAATTAAAGAAACACAATATTTTCCCAAACAGTCAAACTTCTAAGGTTGGAGAGGTTTTTATTTGCACCTGGACATGTTTTCAAAGTGATTCTACTGCACCTACCAAAGATCACAACAGTTTAAAGGAAAAATAAAACATCTATGTCAGAATCCAAAGGTGCACATTTCCTTTTCTATTGTAATGTAACATTCTGGCTAGAAAATGACATTTTACCAAGAGTATCACAGCTTCTGTGTGTCATCTTGCCTGGGATTTCAGTCCAATGGCATTCACAAAGACAAGTTTCTTTATTATGGTAAAACATATAGCTAGCTAATTAAGCAAGAAAATAATAAAAAAGGAAGAACCATTCTAGTTAATTAAAAAAAATTTAAAAAGAGAATATTTTGCCAATTGAACAAGCAATCATTCTGATCGTAGATTGTACTGTCACTGTTTTAATCAAAGTCCTACAGTCTTGTACTTTAATATAAGTCTGATTTAAGACACCTATCTCATAGAAGAGTATGAAGACATTCCATAAAACATTTTACACTATACTTTACCATTGTCAATAACAGGCATTACAAGACGTGACACAAACAAGCAGTGTAAACCACATTTTGAGGTAGATGTCCTATAAATGTGACATAGCACTAAACTGAGGCATACAAAAGACTTTGTGAACAACCAGGTCCCAAAATAAATCACTGTCACAACTACTCATACAGGCGCCACTACTAGGTCCTTTGTACAGGGAACACACCACCTGCAAATTACTTTTAAATCGGTAACAGAAACAGTGGAAGCCATTCGAAGACACAGTTGGATACAATACTATTCAGTCACTAGACCAACACAGTTTACATAAAGGTCTTAGAACAAGCAACTCATGTATTTACCACTTTTATCAAACGTAATCCAATTCATACTACTGTAACAATCACTATGAGACCAAAAGTCAGATACTTATATATCTATATAAGCTAGACCAAAGTAAATGGTTCTTATTCTATATTATCAAAGTAGTTTCTACTACATACTAAATACCTGGACTAATCTAGGATAAATCATAACTTGGATATGAATAAGAACAGCCTTTCAGAAAAAGGAAAGCTTTGATCAGGAAAGTGTTTTTTTTTTTTTTGCATTGCAACACTAATATCTCTATTGAAAATGATGGAGTTGAACAGAGTTGCAGATACTTACTCTACAAAAGATCTTTGATAGCTATAAAGTGAAAAAACTTCACACATTTACTCCATATTCAAAGGTTTTCTCAGTTTTGAGGGGAGTGTATGGCAAAGCTTTCTTCATTATAAATTCAGGTTTAACATAAAAAACAGGTTTTCAGGAAAAACACTTGTTCTCATCACAAGGGTTTCAAGTGTAATAAAGTATCCAATTATACATTAAACTTTTAATTATCTGCAATTTCCCTCAGGGGATCAATAAAGTATCTATCAATTCACATATTACTTTGGCTTAATACCTTTTTCCATTGAACAAACAGATTTAAAGATAAACTGCCTTAGTATACTTCTTGTTTTAATGTAAGAGAAACAGAAATGTTCTCTGCACATTGTCGACATTATCAGAAATTCTTTGCCAATATTTAAATTCAATCCTCTGCCCAGCCATTCTTCATTAATTCTAATGAAAAGCCTCCCTAGTCTGGCAGCAAAGGCAGCCATTAATCTTTGAACTGTAAACTACCAGCAAATTCAAGTGTGAGGCCAAAAAACTACTACGTAAACAGACCAAATGGCTTGAGATCCATACAAAAAATATATCAGGCATAATTACGGTGAGATCCATGGGATTTTTTTCACCATAAAATCTTTTATTAAAAAAAACACAATATTGCAAGCTTTTATGCTTTTTGGAGCAAATGATGCCATTGAAAATGACTGCTAAGAGCACTGCCCTGCAATATTTCCAGCCATTCCCAAGGCACCCCAACACTATCTGAGGCTTTGAAACTATGGCAACCGAATAAGAAAGCAGGCTCCATGATTAATAGATGAAGATCCCAGTGACAATCTAGCAAGGCCATAACTCAGGACGAGCACAGATGCGCTTACATCAAACCCAACTCCAAGTGCACTTGCCAGACACTTGAATAAGGACAATGGATTTCCAAGAAATGCATGATCACAAAATAATTTAAGACAAGTGGATGGCTGTCTGCTAATCATCTTGATACAGTACTTCATTTTGTATTTTAATTCCTTTACATAGTATTCTGAAGCTCTAACTTTCTTCTTTTAACACAAAACCTAATTTACAATGCAGATTTCAGTAGGAACTGCTTTTAACTATTTGGTTTCAAGATCTCTTGGGTTAAAGCATTTGAATGCTAACTTTTAAAGTACCCCGAGTTAGAAAGGCACTTTTGAGATGATGCTCATGAAGATCGCACTGGGTAAAAATAACGTGGGAAAAACAGATTCCGTAGCTTTACATTTTTAACATTATCGTCTTTATTGTAAATAGTCGTCGTCGGTTTCCGATTCTCTGTAAGTCATTAAACGGTTAACATGTTACATCAATTCGATAACACATTTCATAAAATAAGTTTTATATGAAACCAACAGAAATGCTGACCTTTTTCAAAGTAACAGATGTAAACCTGAGTGGCATGAATGAATTTACATTGGTTTACAGTTTATAAATACTTTAAGTGAGTAATTTATAATTACATTGCCATTTAACCTGGTGTCTGATCTCTACGCATTATTTACCTATGGAAAAACCCGAGGTAAAACGAACTGTTTTCAGAAAGGTAGTTATCCAAGAAGTATAACTGCAATCAAATCTTTGTTGAACCTATTCTGTTATGCCGTTTCACGTTTTTCACTTCCTTCCCGAAAACGTTCCGTTTTAAGTTCACAAAGATAGAAAGGGGTTTTAAGATTGTAATATAGATATATTTAAATAGCGATGTATTTCAACTGACACAAAAAGGCTGTGATATTACTACACACCTTCCTCGTAGGAAAGGATGCGCTCAGCGCCATGACTTGGTTACAAGGCGGCACACGTATTAGCGGGGGTCAATTTAATCCTAACACCGTTGCTGTCAGCGATTGTGCTCTACCCAGGGGATGTGGTTCATTTTATTCTTCCCCTGCTTACAAATGGCTCAAATTAATGTAACGAAAGAAAAAAACCCGAGACCAGACTGCAAACAGGCACTCGACTAATACTGTATATTTCTACGTTCTTTTTCCAAAGAACTAGTTCCTAAAGCATATGGTATTTTTCGTTTAAACACAAATGCCAACTCCTTAATTATCCACATGGTTTAGTGTTATACTGCACATTGCGACTATACATTGTGACACTATCATAAAAGACTAATGGTTCTGTTTAAAATTTCACGCATTTGAATCCTGACAGCCTCTGCGTGTATTGGGTCCGTGTACCTCTGGGAAGCTGGTGTTTTGTTGGAATATTATTTTACTTTAGTCCCTTAAAACTTCTTAAGGCAAGTGGCATAGTGTTTTGCCCGAACTTCAGAGTTGAATGCCTTGACCTAAAAGGTACGTTTTTTCTCGCCATGTTGGACTTCAGGAAAGCTGCGCTAAACTTTTACAAGTTCTGAAGTTGCTGTAAAATCAATAAATAGCTGAATCTCACAGACTTGCCCAATACGCATAAAATCTCTTCCAGATACAAGGAACCTCGCTTGTAAAATGCACAGTCTGATGTACACAGTATCAATAGCACTGACGCAAACACATTAGCAACTGGTTTAAGACTCCGTGTCACGGATGAAAATCTTCAGGACCACTCAGCGCAGATTACTCTAAATTTTATTTGGAAATATACATAAAACAAGATGAGTTTTGTTGCTCATCTTGTTTCAGGGGCACATAAAGTCACTCCGCTAACATGAGAAATCCCAAGCTTAAGGATTTATTTAAGATCACATATATACGGATACATTTCTGTAAACCAGCAGACGTGAGAACATGTTTCCCTTGAAAGACAAAATTGAGTTTAAGTGGAGATATGTTTTAAATTATTTAGTGTTATATTATGTTTCTGTTAACTTTACGACAGGACTTCACAATTTTATGAAGGCTTCCTAGTAGCTAACACTGCCAAGTTACAAGCTGAGCAGCTCACATTTTTAGATGGGAAATATATCCACAGTAAAACTGTCACTACATGTATTTTACTCTAGCAAAACACGGAGTGGAAAATGTCTCTATATTTAACTAAGGGACTTTGAACATAGAGTGATTACAAAATCAAATAAATATGAAAATAGCTTTGCTTTATACAAAATAAAGGCAGACCATTACAAATAGAATAGTCCCTGAAAACACATTGTTCGAATGAAAGAGAATATGCGATGCAGCCAGCCTTGCTGTACAAGTTGCATATTTGACAACGTCGTGTTAATATGCAAAATAATAATACATACACTTATATATAAGGAAAAAAACAATCCAGAGACACGCATGCAAAGAAACTTAAGAAAAATACTCTACCTCCTGCTCATGAATAGGCAGCAGGCAAGGATAGCAGAACTAGCTGCAAGACCGTCCCGTTAGTAATCCATTTAAGATTTTGCCTGGGCAGTTCCGATTTAAAGTATCTTTGTTCTTCGTATAACTACATGAGTGTTTAAGTAGAATATTTTCTTTTAGAAATCTGTGAAGAGTACGCGCTTTTGTCATACAGACCGTGAGGGAGCTTTGAACAACAACTTTTGTTCTTCAAGCGAGAAAATCCAGAAGAAATCCACTTTCAAAGCCAATGTTGTTTAAATCCTTTAAGGAAACCGAAACAGAATAAATCTTGCCTCCAAGAATTGACCATGTAGTGTCCCGAACCCTGTTCATTCGCAGCAGGCTAGCACACCGCTCCTCACAAAAGCTCCTAGTCATCCTATTTGGAGATGAAGGTTTCTTACTAGCGCACACCGATCCCAGCTGTCACTCGCTACAAATGGGGAGGAGTTAAATTCCAGACTGGATCACAGTCATGTGGATTTGGATTCCTTGTGCTACCGTCCATACAGTATTTACCAAATGTTTACTTGAACGGAACCATTACGTCTATAATTAAAAAAAAAATAGAAATAGAGAGTGAGTTTTACTTAGCATTACTACTTACATTATTTTTATATGTTCAATTATTCAATGGTTTTTTATAGGTAAACCTTGTTTTACCCTGATGTCCTGGTTGTGTTGTCGTTAAAATGGGTTAATGATGCGTAAAATGCACCTGTCTCACGTGCGCAGTTTCTAGGAAGGAACCAACAATTCAGTAGGAAACTAGAATATCTCCTCTACAGTTTTACACATGGTAAACAATGTGGCTTTATAAGTTTCGTATACTTATTGAAACGAAAAGCAGACGAAATGCAGTTCTAGGCGGCTAAACTGTGGTCTTTTAAACTCTCCTTTGTCATGGAGGAAGAAACCCAACTCCGGTGGGCTGGGATTTTCCAGGCACAGTGTTTCTAATCGCCCTGATCCCCTTAATAGCCAATCAGTTCTGTGAGGGAAGAGGAGAGCAAATCCTTTTAAAGTTGCTGCTTCGGTATTGCGATTTCAGTTGTGCTGAACATGGTTTGTTTTTTGTGCATAAACCCATGTTTCTTAAGGAACTATGTTCTGCTGCTCGTTTAGCACACTTTGCGATATTTGTGGTACAAGAACTCTCGTTCATACAAAATACATCTCCAGAAATCCCTCTCAGTTCTTCAAAGTCGCAATTGTAAAGGGATTACCTCTATAGCAATCTATCTATAGGAGTAATGACGAAGCGCACGGATGACAGGCTTGGCAGGCTGTAATACAGACGCACTGTTTTACACGACAGGTGATTTTGTACACAGTGTTGAAGACCGAAATAGTTTATAAATGATTCATTTCTAAAATGATTAATGGGTGAACAGAAAGTTATATTATTAATTTCTAGTCAATTAAAAAATACTCAATTGAAGTAAATAACAATAGTAACTACTTACAAAATTTAACCTCAGTTTTCTTATTTTTGCTTATTTTTAGCCAGCAAAAGGTTTGCTAAAAATTGTTTCTACATGATTGTTGTGTCGTAGATGATTAATGGTACCTGGGAGATCATAATATAAGTTGAGATACGTTTTCATCAGGATATCAATTGATTTATAACAAATAACGATTTAATGATTTTTTCAAAACCCCTGTTATATGTACACGTGAGATTATCGTATCACTAATCAGACAAAAACAAACGCGAAACCAATTTAGCCAGGCTGCTTTCTATTTTATGTAATTTCGTTTAAAATGTAATATATAAAGTATAGAATATAACGGGATGTCACATAACCAGCCGTTGCAACTGTAGTCAATCGTGGGTGATTAGGAGATGCAGAAAACTGCGGAAGAAAGTGACATGGATATTAATGTATCCTTCTTCTGTATCCTTATCAATATTTGTAGCTGCAATAAAAAAGTAAACAGAAATCCTGGATACAGTATATAACAGAAAATGTGGAATTTAAATCCAAGGTAGTTATATTTAAGCCTTTTATTAATAAGACTTCATGTAGAACATTATGTTCACTTCTGTTCACCACACCACAAAAAGTACTGTATATTATAGCCTTAGAAGGTGGTCAAAATAAAGACACAAGAATAATTCCTGGTTTCGGGGGTTTGCCAAATACTGGCTATCTAAGGGAGTTAAATATCTTCAGTATAGAACAAGAGGGGTCAAGAAGGCATTTAATTCAAGCATACAAGATTCAAACTGATATAGATAGGTTTAACCATGGGACTGTTTTACAAAATTGGAAACTAAAAGGGAATTTATTCAGGATGGACACTGATTTCTTTACACTGATAATCGTGGGTATCTGGAACAAGCTTCCCAGCCAGGTTCTTGAAGCCAAAACTCTGAGCACTTTTCTGACACAGCTGGACAAAATTTTAGTTTCATTTAGTTACTAAACTAAAAAATGAGATGAAACAAATGGTCATTTGTCGCATGCACTCTTTCTTATGTTCCTATGCAGCATGTCACTGCCACTGGATTAGACAATGTTTCACTTGTTGTAAAGGCCACTTTTTATCTGAAGAATGCACTCTTTATGTACACTGATGGACGGTGAGGGGCATGCATGGGTGGGTAGTGATGTTTGTGAGTCTAGTCTACCTTCACTGGATAGTTATTTATCTAGAGGGCATGTAAATACAGGAACTCATTCACGTGGGTTTTGTACATTCGTGTTTGTATCAAGAGAATGCTTACTATAATAAAACTTCCAGAGCACAGGTTCCAGAACAATGATGATCCTTTAGTCAGCTTCCATACAGTATAGTATTTTTTTAAGCAAAAAATTAAAATATGGTTTTGATTATATCTTTTAAAATACATTTTCGAATGCACAAAAAAACAATTCTTTATTCTCACAGACTGAATTAAGTATTAAAGACAGATATCACACAGCGTCAATAGAAATTCTGAAGAAAACAGCTTCTGGACAGAATACAGCTGGATTTTCCCCCTTGTTTTGTGCAGTTTGCAAAGGTTGGCTGGTCTCATTTTGTCTGCTGGGGATGGGATTAGTGAGTGCTTCCCCACAAATGTCCTGCTGGACTTAGATCAAGATAAATGCTGCCCACGTCAAGACCTCAAAGTTGTTTTCTTAAAGTCTTGTCATTGTAATCCATTATTAGAAATGATTTCTTCCTGGAATTTCTTGTTTAGTAGCCACTGAAGTAAAATGATTATGCAGATGGATAAGATAGGCTTGACGTTCCTGGGCTGGTGTGCTGACCCACTGCCTTTAAGGATGTGGGCTGTGCCTCACTTTAGCCGGTTTCCTGATTCCTGATTTTTTCTATACACAGCAGCAAAGTTCAGAACATAGGAAAATAAGAAAGGTTAGTTACAAATGAGAAGAGACTATTAAGCCCATTTACTGTAGGTCACTTAAGTCTGAAAATTTCTTCCAGTTGTTTCTTGAAAGAAGCCAATTAGATGACTTCTTTCCAATCCTTCAAAAGTTCCTCTTTGTTCCAATTCTACAGTAGTTCCACTTGTGTCCTCTTTTTACATCTCACTATTGCTTCTGAATAAGTCTGAATAAGTTGGGTTGACTGTCAATATAAAATAATAAGTGTTGGCTAGGTTTGGACACATAACTTTACATTTCACAAAGAATACTATGTGAGACAGACAACAGGAATTAGCAATTAACTTGTATGTATTAAGAAAAAAACATTAGTGCAGGGAGGAAAAGATAATCCCAGGCTGTCTTCCACTATTAGAGAAAACAATACTATTAGATGATGAATCTGTGGGGTTGTGCAGCTGTTGCCTTCAACATATTTTGGTTGAAAAGCAATAAACCAGATTGTGTTGTTATCCGGGATGACATTGTTCTTCATGGAACATCTGTTAAAATCTCATTCTTTTTTTTCACAAGTAAATAGATGCAAAAGTAGCCATATTACAGTGGCACAAAGGTTATATTGCTTGCTTATAAAGTATGTCTCTTTCATGTTGGCAAAAGCTCTTCACAATCAAAAACTCAGCCACACACATAAATCTTATTGGATGAAACTTCTCTTGCAGACTCTAAGATTGAATGTGATTATCTGGTATAATCGTACTAGATAAGTACACTGATATTTGACTTATTTACTGCTTAAGTTTTTTTCAACCTACAGAGTGGCTCCACAATGCCTATGACATTCTAAAGTACTTCACATCATTTAGTCTTGAGAGAAAGCTTTAGACCTGTCTTTTAGATTCACTAAATTTCTATCTGCGCTTTTCCTGTTCCACAAACACTTGGCATGAAATAAGGTCTATGGCACATTTTCATGACAGTGCCAGCTCAGTCCAGGGTTTCTAAGCTGTGAACTTCAGCTAGTCTAGAGATCTCTGAAGGCTAGAAACTTTGAAGTTACAGTTCTATGATATGAGTGTAAGGGAAAGAACATTTGTATTAAAAAATGTACACAGCTATGCATAGTCTGGAGATGTTAATGAAAATATGTGTTTTATTAAAAGTACTTGAAAGTAAACATAAGCTTTTATTTTTAATACTTCCTCTATTTGTCTTTCAGTGAATGAGATAACATGCCAATAAAAAACCAAAGATGATTGTGTGTTTAACAGCTACATATATAAATGTATTTTAAAGGATTTATTAAGTGCAACCATGAAAAAATAGTATTTATCTCACAATACATATCTATTTTGTACTGTAATTCATGTTCAGTTCTGGTGTTCTCAATGTCAAGGAAGAAAAGGTCTATGATGATAATTTAATAGCCTGTGTTTTATACAGATTATTAAGAGGTGGATGGCTGCAAAGAAATACATTGATTAATATGCAATAAGCAGTCCTAGTATTATTGTTTGGCAAAGAAAGGCAGATTGTTTTGACATCTCATTGCAAAAATGAGTGCACCAATAAAAACTTTCTTAGTAGCGTTGGTGAGTAGTGGATTATAGGGCTAATGAAGACAATTTTAGCTACTAATGCAATGTAAAATTGTTAATGTAATGAAAGGAGCATTTTGGATACCTTCCCTTTTTAATTATGAAAAAAGACATGCTTACAAATGGATCGTCAATAGTTACTCACATCAGCTTACAATATTGTTCCTTATAAAAAGAATGAAGTCAGTTTTCATGTGTTTATCACAGTAAAACAAAACCAAAATAGCTTGGCTGACAGTGAGGAATCTGGCGTCACCAATTATCACTTTGTCTGGAAAACATTTCTCCTCAAGTCTCTACAAAATGTCTCTTCATATCTTAGGTTCTCCAAAATAAATTTACCAAGTAGATAGCACAGTAAAAAGTACTCTGAAACTGAGAAAGACTTAAAAGGGCTCCCAAAATAATTATAAGTCTCAAAAATCTTAAGTTTGTCTGTGTCTGTGACACATTGCTTTTCATCTGGAAAGAGCAGTAAACCTAAACGAAACCTTCCT